TTTAAAAAGAAATGGGAAATGCTAAAAAAGCGCCGGAGGCAAAAAAATTAAAAAAAAAATCGCGCGATTATGCTTTAAATAGCCTAATTTCTTTTGGCCTCTGAAACATTTAAAATGTGCTTTGCTTTTATAAATTTATGAGACCCGATCCACTATTTAAATAATTAATGTATTTAATTGTTTATATACAGAGTTAACCGAATAGAATTATAATTAATGCGCCGGTACCCTTCACGTCTTTTTCATTCACTTAGTACTTCCTAGCTATAATAAACAAATCGCTTTTAATTGCTTCATTACTTATCGCCCAGCTGGTCTGCGATCCAATCCAGGTGTTCCTCCTTGAAGCGAGGATCCGCCATGGTCAGAGCCGTCGATTTGGAGCTGTAGTAATAGACAACCGACACTGCGGAGGGAGTGGTGACCATTAGGATAAGAGTGGAAGGAATATTACTGGAACTCACTGATTCGTTGACCTACTGACAAAGCAATCAGACCCAACGGCCAGTGCTGACCATCTTCCCCTGGTGGCTGTCGGTATTGGTAGATTATCCAGAAGTGCTGCGAGGCGGACAAAAGGAAGTAGATGGTAATGCTGGCCATGAAGAGCTTGCAGTTCCGCAGGATTATGTGAGAGGCACCGACCTGGTACACACACGTTGAGTGCAGCGTAAGAGTGAACAGCAGGTACTCCGCAATGATGAGAGTGTCCTGAATGCTGTGGTAACTTGGTGTGGTCAGTAAGCGACATTCGAGTCTCGAACCTTGAATACTTACACAAAGAAAAAAATCGCTGTCTGCAATCGGTTTCTGGCCAGCGAAGGCCCAAATGCATTGAAAAAGAGGTCACCTCCCAAAAGGGCGAACTGGAACAGAAGCACCCAGGAGTACCTTCGCAGAGTTAGCTTCATAGCGGTGTCCTAATGGCGAATAATTGTTTGCGTAGCCTGTTTGTTGTGTCCTTCCTGTGCGCGGTTTGTTGTGTCCTTCGTCCTGGTGACGTCAAAGCAGACGCAACGGTCATGCGCTCTCTCCATCATACCAATAACTTTCGATAGACAAATATCTATCGAAACCGAATAGATTTGGCAAATTGTTAGAAATTAATTTAAAAAAGAAAAGGAAGTTATTTATTCTTGCAGTAAAAGGTAAATACTTAACGTTAAAGTGGGTAAGAATTTCTCAACAGCGCATATGAAAAAATAGATTTTCTTTAAACTTAAGTTTCTAGTAGAGTTTGCCTACGTTATCATCTGTAATTATACCCGTTACTCGTAGAGTAAAAGGGTATATTAGATTCGTGCAAAAGTATGTAACAGCTAGAAGGAAGCGTTTCCGACCCCATAAAGTATATATATTCTTGATCAGGGTCACTAGCCGAGTCGATCTAGCCATGTCCGTCTGTCCGTCTGTATGAACGCTGAGATCTCAGAAACTACAAAAGCTAGAAGGTTGAGATTTCCCACACATATTCTTTGGCTTCCTACGCAGCGCAAGTTTATTTGAGCCGAGCGCCACGCCCCCTCTAACGCCCACAATCGCCCATTAACGATTTTAAAATGGGTCCTGCGCCCACATCTTTAAAGATTTCCGAGAAGTATAAGAAGTATTGTGTATACTTATACCTATCGAAATGTAGAAGACATTTTTCAAATCGGACCATTCATTAAAAAGTTATACGCAATCAAAATTTATATATCTATCTCCCTCGCACTCCCTTTAGCTGAGTTAAGAAAACGAGTACAGCGTTCGCAGTCCCTTTAGCTGAGTGGCGGGTATTAGATACTATAGCGTTCTCTCTTTTTTTTTTTTTTAATTTTTTGGGGCTTACTTTAAGGCGCTATGAATTTTTGAAGTTAAGAACTTAAAAAATTTTCTCAAACTTCAAATTAGTATATCTCGGGAACGGTTTGGAGGAATCACGTACAACTTTACATGTTTGTAGATGTGATCTAGGGGCATTACAAAAGTATTTTTAAAAACAATTTTTGGTAATAGTCTAGAAGAGCGGCCTGAGCACCAAAAACCGCGAAAAAATTACCCTCGATGGACCGCGATTTCTTGAGAATTTACGTGCGGAAGATTATTTGCGGAAATGCATGGTTCTCTTGTAATTGCATTTCAAAGTTGCGTGTTTTGCTATAAAAACAAAGTAGGATTTTGAGGTGTTTTGTGTCATTTTGCTATAAAAACAATGAGCATTTTCTAGGAATTTATGGGTTTGCTATAAAAAACAAGTACGCTTTTGTTGCTTAATCAGAAATTGCACTTTTGATTTTTGTTTACTATGGATTCCTGCAACGGGTGCACTATTTCTTATAAAGACTTTCTTGCCATGGACGAAGAAGAAATGTTTTCATTTCTGCAGAGACATGGAGTTGTTCTAAAGAGCAAGGACTGTCCCAACTGCAGTAAGCCCGCAACATTGTCTTGCAATGCGAAGAGACCGATTAGTACGCCATTTTGGAGGTGCCGCAGGATGATAAGCAATCATCAACAGAAACGGAAATAAAGAAAAGTTCAATGCTCCTTTAAGGTAACAATTTTCTCAGCAATGGGCGAATTGTTAAATCCTGAACGCGATGTTAGTATTTAAAAAGAAATGGGAAATGCTAAAAAAGCGCCGGAGGCAAAAAAAATTAAAAAAAAAAATCGCGTTTCTGTTGATGATTGCTTATCATCCTGCGGCACCTCCAAAATGGCGTACTAATCGGTCTCTTCGCATTGCAAGACAATGTTGCGGGCTTACTGCAGTTGGGACAGTCCTTGCTCTTTAGAACAACTCCATGTCTCTGCAGAAATGAAAACATTTCTTCTTCGTCCATGGCAAGAAAGTCTTTATAAGGGTAATAGTCTAGAAGAGCGGCCTGAGCACCAAAAACCGCGAAAAAATTACCCTCGATGGACCGCGATTTCTTGAGAATTTACGTGCGGAAGATTATTTGCGGAAATGCATGGTTCTCTTGTAATTGCATTTCAAAGTTGCGTGTTTTGCTATAAAAACAAAGTAGGATTTTGAGGTGTTTTGTGTCATTTTGCTATAAAAACAATGAGCATTTTCTAGGAATTTATGGGTTTGCTATAAAAAACAAGTACGCTTTTGTTGCTTAATCAGAAATTGCACTTTTGATTTTTGTTTACTATGGATTCCTGCAACGGGTGCACTATTTCTTATAAAGACTTTCTTGCCATGGACGAAGAAGAAATGTTTTCATTTCTGCAGAGACATGGAGTTGTTCTAAAGAGCAAGGACTGTCCCAACTGCAGTAAGCCCGCAACATTGTCTTGCAATGCGAAGAGACCGATTAGTACGCCATTTTGGAGGTGCCGCAGGATGATAAGCAATCATCAACAGAAACGGAAATAAAGAAAAGTTCAATGCTCCTTTAAGGTAACAATTTTCTCAGCAATGGGCGAATTGTTAAATCCTGAACGCGATGTTAGTATTTAAAAAGAAATGGGAAATGCTAAAAAAGCGCCGGAGGCAAAAAAAATTAAAAAAAAAAATCGCGTTTCTGTTGATGATTGCTTATCATCCTGCGGCACCTCCAAAATGGCGTACTAATCGGTCTCTTCGCATTGCAAGACAATGTTGCGGGCTTACTGCAGTTGGGACAGTCCTTGCTCTTTAGAACAACTCCATGTCTCTGCAGAAATGAAAACATTTCTTCTTCGTCCATGGCAAGAAAGTCTTTATAAGAAATAGTGCACCCGTTGCAGGAATCCATAGTAAACAAAAATCAAAAGTGCAATTTCTGATTAAGCAACAAAAGCGTACTTGTTTTTTATAGCAAACCCATAAATTCCTAGAAAATGCTCATTGTTTTTATAGCAAAATGACACAAAACACCTCAAAATCCTACTTTGTTTTTATAGCAAAACACGCAACTTTGAAATGCAATTACAAGAGAACCATGCATTTCCGCAAATAATCTTCCGCACGTAAATTCTCAAGAAATCGCGGTCCATCGAGGGTAATTTTTTCGCGGTTTTTGGTGCTCAGGCCGCTCTTCTAGACTATTACCAAAAATGGTTTTTAAAAATACTTTTGTAATGCCCCTAGATCACATCTACAAACATGTAAAGTTGTACGTGATTCCTCCAAACCGTTCCCGAGATATACTAATTTGAAGTTTGAGAAAATTTTTTAAGTTCTTAACTTCAAAAATTCATAGCGCCTTAAAGTAAGCCCCAAAAAATTAAAAAAAAAACAAGAGAGAACGCTATAGTATCTAATACCCGCCACTCAGCTAAAGGGACTGCGAACGCTGTACTCGTTTTCTTAACTCAGCTAAAGGGAGTGCGAGGGAGATAGATATATAAATTTTGATTGCGTATAACTTTTTAATGAATGGTCCGATTTGAAAAATGTCTTCTACATTTCGATAGGTATAAGTATACACAATACTTCTTATACTTCTCGGAAATCTTTAAAGATGTGGGCGCAGGACCCATTTTAAAATCGTTAATGGGCGATTGTGGGCGTTAGAGGGGGCGTGGCGCTCGGCTCAAATAAACTTGCGCTGCGTAGGAAGCCAAAGAATATGTGTGGGAAATCTCAACCTTCTAGCTTTTGTAGTTTCTGAGATCTCAGCGTTCATACAGACGGACAGACGGACATGGCTAGATCGACTCGGCTAGTGACCCTGATCAAGAATATATATACTTTATGGGGTCGGAAACGCTTCCTTCTAGCTGTTACATACTTTTGCACGAATCTAATATACCCTTTTACTCTACGAGTAACGGGTATAATTACAGATGATAACGTAGGCAAACTCTACTAGAAACTTAAGTTTAAAGAAAATCTATTTTTTCATATGCGCTGTTGAGAAATTCTTACCCACTTTAACGTTAAGTATTTACCTTTTACTGCAAGAATAAATAACTTCCTTTTCTTTTTTAAATTAATTTCTAACAATTTGCCAAATCTATTCGGTTTCGATAGATATTTGTCTATCGAAAGTTATTGGTATGATGGAGAGAGCGCATGACCGTTGCGTCTGCTTTGACGTCACCAGGACGAAGGACACAACAAACCGCGCACAGGAAGGACACAACAAACAGGCTACGCAAACAATTATTCGCCATTAGGACACCGCTATGAAGCTAACTCTGCGAAGGTACTCCTGGGTGCTTCTGTTCCAGTTCGCCCTTTTGGGAGGTGACCTCTTTTTCAATGCATTTGGGCCTTCGCTGGCCAGAAACCGATTGCAGACAGCGATTTTTTTCTTTGTGTAAGTATTCAAGGTTCGAGACTCGAATGTCGCTTACTGACCACACCAAGTTACCACAGCATTCAGGACACTCTCATCATTGCGGAGTACCTGCTGTTCACTCTTACGCTGCACTCAACGTGTGTGTACCAGGTCGGTGCCTCTCACATAATCCTGCGGAACTGCAAGCTCTTCATGGCCAGCATTACCATCTACTTCCTTTTGTCCGCCTCGCAGCACTTCTGGATAATCTACCAATACCGACAGCCACCAGGGGAAGATGGTCAGCACTGGCCGTTGGGTCTGATTGCTTTGTCAGTAGGTCAACGAATCAGTGAGTTCCAGTAATATTCCTTCCACTCTTATCCTAATGGTCACCACTCCCTCCGCAGTGTCGGTTGTCTATTACTACAGCTCCAAATCGACGGCTCTGACCATGGCGGATCCTCGCTTCAAGGAGGAACACCTGGATTGGATCGCAGACCAGCTGGGCGATAAGTAATGAAGCAATTAAAAGCGATTTGTTTATTATAGCTAGGAAGTACTAAGTGAATGAAAAAGACGTGAAGGGTACCGGCGCATTAATTATAATTCTATTCGGTTAACTCTGTATATAAACAATTAAATACATTAATTATTTAAATAGTGGATCGGGTCTCATAAATTTATAAAAGCAAAGCACATTTTAAATGTTTCAGAGGCCAAAAGAAATTAGGCTATTTAAAGCATAATCGCGCGATTTTTTTTTTTAATTTTTTTTGCCTCCGGCGCTTTTTTAGCATTTCCCATTTCTTTTTAAATACTAACAATTAACTATCTTAAATTTCAGGAATCCACCGATACGGACAATGAAAAGGAATAGGCTTAATCTGTACCACTTACCAGAATTTTTTATAAATAAATATTTACTGTCCAATCATTAACCATAGTTTAATATAGCATTTTATTTACTATTACAAATGAGTTACAAGTATAAGGAGGTACTGAACTAAAAACTCTCGTAATTGGCTTTGATAAAGACTAAGGTTGATCCTCCTCGGATTGCGATTTCTTAAGATTCATCTTAAAAATGTATATGTTGGTCATCCATGGTCGCCCAAGCTCTTAAGGAATCACGGTCCATCGAGGATATTAATGCGCGGTTGTAGGGTCTGGCCTGCTATAAAAACAATTTCACATTTTTGTCGAATTTTTTCGAACGCTTATTATTTTGACAACAAACGGAAAGCCCATATGTTTTTTATAGCAAAATGACACAAAACACCTCAAAATCCTACTTTGTTTTTATAGCAAAACACGCAACTTTGAAATGCAATTACAAGAGAACAATGCATTTCCGCAAATAATCTTCTGCACGTAAATTCCTAAGAAATCGCTGTCCATCGATGGTAATTTTTTCGCGGTTTTTGGTGCTCAGGCCGCTCTTCTAGACTATTACCCAATTTTTTTTATTTTTAGGCAATATTTTGTTTCCCAAAATTTTTAATTGCGGTTTTGGAAGTCTTCTTCATCTTATAAAAATAAGTACAATATCTGAGATTGTCTGTCTCATAACCAACTTATCGGAACCGAAGACACTTTTGTGTACCCCTCAGTAATTACCAAGATATTTAGTATTTTTTAAAACTATTTTATTTTTAAGGAAAACCCTATTTTTCTTTCCAGCAAGTAAAGCCCTCACTCTTTTATGCTGAAATTTTGCACAATTCAGTTACTAACTCCCATTATGAATATATGTGAATCTTATAAGTATACAACCATCCCATCACATGGCTGCCATAGAAAAAATGCATGTTATCACTTTTTTAAAATAAATAATAAATAATTTAAATAAACTTTTATAAGTGTTTTATTTTATAATTTTATTAAAAAACTGTGTCTCGTGTTCTGAGAAGTATGTACAAATAATTTGGTTATTCTCTCTTGGTCTAAAATGATGGTATTGTCTAGTGTTTTTAATGCAGATGGCTGTTTCGTTTCGTTTCTTGAACTTGGTGTCGTGTAGGATGTGTTTATTCATTGAAAAAAACGTAAATGTTATAGACGGAATCGACTTCTTTGCCCAGTCATAGAGTTTTTGGCGAGTTAATAACATCTTTGTTAATTCGCTGCATGCTTGCCTTTCTTGCTAATCTTTTTATTGTTCCACCCAAGCCATCGGAGGCACCTTTCCCGTGGGAAGTCGCAAAAAAATTCCATTCCGCATCCACATCATTGTCCTTTTTATGGTAATACAAGTTAATAAAGTTGTATTTGTTTTTGTATTGGCTACCAGCTCCATCCGAAAAATACAAAATTTTGTTGACCTTAGTTTTTCCAAATTTTTTTTGTAAAAATTGTACCATAGTTGAATTGAAAAGATGAACAGATTGAGCATCATGGCTTACATTTTCTGATATTACCACATAGTTAAGGTGTTTCCCTTTCCCATCATCGGCTAAGTAATATATAACGTAGGGATTAGAGACCTGCACGATACGATGCCGATGCCGATTCCACGAGTAAAAGTAATCAAGTTGGCGATGCCACGATTATTTTTTGTAATCATGTAATCGTGTCAAACGATGCCGAGTATACTCGGCATCGTAGAATCGTACGAGTAGCATCGTAGCATCGTCAAAGCTTTGAATACATTTTTAAAATTATTTTATTAAAGTTAGTATGGGCAGCATATACAAACACATTTTACATTATTTATTTTTACTTTTTCGCTTCCTTGCGCTGCGAGTGTAAAAGTAAAATTGCATCTATGTTTTAAAAAAAAAATGTACCCCAAAAGCCAACCTTTTTCAATAATGGGCCGCAGCTTAACAACAAATTTATCTCTTTCACTAACGTACTCCTTTACCAAATTACGGCTTACAGTGGTGGGATGCGGCAAAATATCGTCGATGGAAAAATTTGTACTGCCAAGGCTTGCTCCTACTTCGACAAGGCATTTCGCAAGATCTTTAAATCCTGGTCGAAAGAACGCAAATCCTTAGCCACGAATTTACAGCAACTTTTTGTGACTTCGTATTTCATTTGGTCGCTTACAACCATACGAGTTTTTTTGAATGCGGGTCCTACTGTTGTACTGTCGCTGGCCCTTTTGAAACAAAAGTGCTTCTTTAAGTTGGATGGACTGGCCCCTTTCGCATATTTAAATATTTTCTCGCACCTCTTACAGCCCACGTAATCGACGTTTTCGCCAGTAGATCCATGGATAATTCGGAAGAAGCACTGCCATACCTCACTAGAGCCACTGGCTTCGATTCGTTTGTACTCTCCCGAGTTCAGCTTTGCTATAACCTCCATATTTTTTAAACAAAATTTCGTTCGAACAGAATTACGAGTCAGATATGAGTAAAACGATGCCGATTCCTACGATTCTACGATCCCACGATGCCAGATTTGACAGTTGTAATCGGCATCGCCGAGTACTACTCGAGTATATTTTTACTTACTCGTGCAGGTCTCTAGTAGGGATGTAGGGTTGCTTGGGAATTGGACCAATGGTGTGATTGGATTGCATCTTGAATTTCAAATGTGTAATTTTCAGAAAAGTCCAATCAAATAATAAATTCTCCAGGTGATGATGTATCTTTTTTTTTCCTAAAGTACTCCGCCTCTTTTTTTGAAATAAAATCATGTTTTATTACACTATGCAGCATCAAAAATTTACCTCGATGGATTCTATATTTTTGGATTCGTCTCGAATTCCCAAGTTAATCTGCGTTTTCCAAAAAGTTCCCCGACGCAAGGATTCTTAACCAAATGACCTCAAAGTTCAAAAAATTCTGAAATTGGACAACTTTCCGAAACTCTCAGAGGCAAACGGATTCATGGTTGGATTCGATGTTAAACTTTTTCAAAAGATACACTCTTTATCTTTCAAACCCTATACTTAGAATAATTTTAGGATTTTTATCAAGGGAGAAACAAATTTTAGAAAACATGGTCAAAAAACATAAAAGCATACAGATGCGGTCAAAATAGTAGTAGTCTTGCCGTCCTGTGTGTTTAAAAGTTTAATGTTGTAACTTTTTTTTATCCAATTAGTCTAATAGTAAAATTATAATCAACACAATATTACCAGGAAACTATCAATTACAACAACAAACTTTTAAATTTACAAGGCGGCGACACTACTACTATTTTGACCGAAGCTGTATGCTTTTATGTTTTTTGACCATGTTTTCTAAAATTTGTTTCTCCCTTAATAAAAATCCTAAAATTATTTTAAGTATGGGGTTTGAATGATAAAGAGAGTGTTTTTTTAAAAAACTTTAACAGCGAATCAAACCCAGTGTTGGGACATACCTAGATACTTTTACCTAGGTACGTACCTAGGTACAATTTAGTGGTACCTTTTACCTTACCTTGGTATAAAAATAATTGAGTACCTTTTACCTTACCTAGATACAGATTTTTATATACCTTTGGAATTATTAAGGTACTTACATAGGTATTAAACATGCATCTGACAACATCAACATGCATAAACAACATCTGACTGCGACACTGTAGTATCGTTTCATTGTATCGTTTCGTTTCGAAATTGTAATAGTCGGAACGGAGCATTAAAAGTCATTGGAATTCAGCCGTTCTATTGTTTGTTTTGTGAATTTAAAACTAATCGCAGTTTTATTTTATTTAATTTTGTGCACGTATGTATGTTCCCATCACTACATCAATTTATTTATGAAACCAAAGTGTATTTGGCGCGCAAAAATGCCGTATGTACGTAAACAAACGGCACAATATATAGTCAATGTTTCTACATACGGAATTTTTGCGCGCCAAATATGTACATGAGGGTTTCATAAATACATTAATGAAGTGATACGTGCATACAATTATTCATGCCGCGTGTTTTAAAAATATATGCACAAAATTATAACATTTAAATTTAAATGAAATGAAAAGATATTGTTTGATTAAGACGACTAAAAACTGAAAACTAGTCTTATTTTAAGTGTAAATGATTACATTGAACAAAACAAAAAAAATTATAAAAAATAAAAAAACAATATATTTACCTTTTACCTTTACCTAGGTACTGGGAAATTTAAGTACCTTTACCTTACCTAGGTATTTATTTTTGCCCAATACCTTTTACCTTACCTACGTAAAAAAACACAGTACCTTTCCCAACACTGATCAAACCATGACTCCGTTTGCCTCTGAGAGCTCCGAAAAGTTGGACAATTTCAGCATTTTTCGAACTTTGAGGTCCTTTTGCACGCAGTTTAACTTGGGAATTCGAGACGAATCCAAAAATATAGCATCCATCGAGGTAAATCTAAAAAGCATTAAAAATGCTGCACAGTGTTATTATTGGCAATTCCGCGGCAATGTTAAAAAAAAAATTATGACATTTTCCGTTTTTTCTGAGATTTGACACCTGGCAAATGTAATTCAATTTAAATGACTTTTAATCATAGTTTAAAACTTACCGATCAGTGCTGAGTCAGCATTGCTGACCCATTGAGAAAACGATATTTATTTACATGCATTTTCATTTAGCGTTTTGGTGTACTTTTCAAAAGTTTCATGTTTTTTGGGACACTTCCTACAGTCCTGCATATAGCAATTCGTTGTCGCGTTGCTGCAGATAAAATATGTTATGAAATCTTTTAATGAATCACTAAATTTTAGTTTAAAAT